TTCCAGAAAAACCATGTTTGTCGACGAATTTTCGATGAGAGCGTCGATTTATTCATGAAGGTGCTTATTCAGGAGCTGGAGCTCTGCAAAGCTCCTGCTTCTGAACAACATCAGCTTTCTGAAGCCTTTTTTGGGAGTTGTTTATGTGCTCCTAGAAGTACAAGCATTGGATTTCGTAAGAAATTCCGTTGATATCTCCCTTTGAGAATGGCTAGAGGCATTACCGGGAGAAAATCAAGGGATGAAATGATCGGCGTTAGCTATCTCCGCTGGGGGATGAGCCACGCATACGTCTTCAAACCAGAAATCTATCGACAATTGAATGCGTCTTCGGTTCATACAGCGATTTATGGGGCTGCCTGATGTTTGACCAAATCAGTTTCCCTCTTTCCGATCGAATCCTTCGGCAAAGGAATGACCCTGGAGATAGAGAAGGAATGATCGGCTTCATCAGATCCACGTTAAGGGCACAGCTTGAGGTTGGTGGAGAGGTTCAGCGATTGTATAGGCCCATGTACCCGGTCTGTGAAGCCACTTGAAGCAACCGTCTATAGTCGTCGTCGACCCCATGAGAAGGCCCTCAATTTCCTCTGGCTCCAACCATGCGTACTTGACATTCTTCTCCTTAGACATTCCTTAAAAAACCCGAGTAACCTCGTATTCTAGAGGGGATTCTCACAATGAATGATTGATATATTTCAACGATACTTTAGTGTAATGGGTGATAATATTTTTAATCGTCCTATGGTCATGCGTAGTATGGCCACCATTTCATCAAAACTCAATTTCAGCTCACCTCGACCTATTGGCTCAGGCCCATTGCCTTGTAAGCAGCCCTCCACGGGATGCTTCTCCACCAACGGCAAAACGATCTCGAGCTTCTAACGGTGATCCCAACAAGGACTACCATACCTGCCAGGTTAGGTTTGGCTACCAGGCCTACCGTCAAAGTAATACATTACCAGTACTAATTGATCTATCGATTCAGATGTGTGGAACACGGGTGAAAGCACCACGAGGTGGTCGTTGGAATCTTCAGATGCATGTGATGGCAATGCATTCATCGTTTCGTCCATACAAATGTCGATCCTGTGACTTCCAAGACTACCGGTCTGTTTACTTATTGTTTATTTTTTCACAAGACTACCGGTATTTTTACAAAATACCTTGAAAATTTTCTTTTTTGAAACTAATTCTGCTGATATTTCCAGAAAGCCTGGAATGCGGAAGCATTGCATACTCACCCATGGAGAGGATATGGATCCAGTTGATATCAGGTACGGTATCTCAGTGTTGGAGATAAAGGCTATGTGTTGGTTCCCCAGTGGGTTTGCTACAGACCTAGGTGTAGGCTGGCAATATCCATGGCGGACCTTAGGTCCGATTTTCGCCATCGTTGGAGAGCTACTACTGCTGTGACGTCTCAGCAGAAGCAAAATCAGGCTCAAGACGGGCGAGGGCGACTGTGAAGTAGTGAAAAGGCAATTATGATGGGGCCACTCCGCTCTTCAATTGACGTCCCAGCGGGGAGTCGTCCAAGGGCTCTTCACATAGATAATCTCAGCTTCAAAAAATCAAAAATCGTGAGCTTGGAATAGCAATTGCACATTCAGGGAAGTCACTTGGGAAATTTTTTCAACTCAAAAACTTGATGTCAGACTGTAACTGGGTAATTAGGCCGGGGAGCTAAGAAGTCTCCGTTACTTGCATTTTTGCTGAGGTTGCCCACCAGTAGGTGTCCAAAACTAGACAGTATCTCCCATTTTCAGTTCTCCTCCTGCATTCCGAATCAAGCTCCTCCCATCCCATCCCTCTCTAAACAAAAACGAAAATTAGAATATTTGGGTAATGTTATTGCCCTTAAGAAAAGAAGGGAGTAACTATAACTGATATAACTGACGTTGAATCGAAGTTTTTTTTATATAAAAGCGAGCAGTTACAGAGGAGAGGGAAGAGGGGAAAGTGGGTGAGGTGGAGGGAGTAGTCAAATTAATTATAAACCTCTGAAGTCAATTTTGATATTTCCGGAGTGAGAAAGCGGTTCCTTCAGTCTTCTGTACCTTTTTTGTCCTATTTGACCCATTATTAATCAACAAACGATGAGAAGCTTTGGGTTGTTGTGTTTGACAAAATGAAAAAAGGAGCTTAGGTCAAAAAGAGCACGGCTCCCAGAAGGGGTAAAGTAGGTGCCGTATTACACTAGAAATCAAAAATCCCCTTCCGCTCGTCTTCCGGGTTTAGCCCCAGGCAGAATCCATCGGGGTAGACGAAAATTTCGTTCAAAATATTTTTCCCGAGTTTTTTTTTTCCAAAATTTTGAGATTGACCGGCTGAACTTACCAAGAAGAGAAGTTGTCGTGGTTTTGTTAGGAAATTCAATTTCAATTTATTCCATTGCATTTCAGTAACGATGTGAAAAGAGCGGAATGGGACAATGTGATGCGACGATGCTTCCCCGAGTTCGGTTATCGAACCGGATTTCTAATCGATCAGAAATCAGTTCCTGTGATTGCCCCAGAGACACCATCTTCCTGAACACACATACACCCCCAGACTGCTGCTGCTGAATATGTTTGATACTCATTTCATACTGTCCACATAAACTACCTACTCAGGTTCAATCATTGTGCTTTTGTTTACTGGCATTTATTTCTCATTGTGTCTCACTTACTGCATTTACTACATAAATATGAACTTGTATAGATTGATATTTTTGCGCCTTTACAGGAGCATCTTTGGTTCTTGTCATATCCATCAGGTAGTCTACGGGTAATAAGCTAGGTGGGGCAGAGGCAAAGTACGGGCTGATATCGGTACGATCCGTAGATCGAATCCCTTCTCGCTTAACTGGTCATGATTTCGGTGGTGAACTAGTTAGTTAAGTCCCAGGCGATCAAGATATGGCATATATCCAAAACTCTCGAAGTCGGTGAAGACTTTGAAAAGATTCTAGCGCTTCCTAAAAAGAAACGATAGCACCTAGGGGGCTGTCACCCAGATCAATTTGCTACTTACCCATGTGATAAGATCCCGAAAGACTGGCCTAAGCCCTTAGGTATGACCTAGACTGCAGGCCTGTTCTAACCTACCCTGCTGGTACCTAATGTAGTATTCTACTTGGTTATTTCCCACCTGATGTAGCTGAGGTGAGAATATCGCCATTCAGCTAGCCACTACTGGAAAAACTGGACATACCGGCATCGTTTCCCACTTCGTGGATATCACTGGGGCAAAGTACGCTTATATGGCTTTGGCTTTGGTATCCAGCCTGTTCAGATCAATTCAGCAGTCTCACGTGCTCGGAAGGGGTACGAGATTTCCGGGAGAAATACGAGCACAGCGATTGGAACAATCCTTTCGAAGGATGTTCCTCGGTTTGGAGCCGAGTAACTCTCCTGCTTGATTCAATCTTTTTTTTTTGTTTTGATTGGGGACTTGCACAACTCTTTCATCTTTCCGAAAGACCCAGTGAAAGCTGACCGTAAGGGCTTTTATTTCCCAAATTTCAGTTCGCATGGGACGGCTCCCAATCAAAGATGGCCTTCATGAAAAAAATGTACACTCATTTAAATAATATAAATTCTTCTGAGAGTTTAGGACTTATCTCAGGAGGTAATTCACATAGAAACTGAAAAAAAGTTTTTGCACTTTATCAAACGCGCCTTGGGATGCAGCCACTCGCTGGACGTCAATTCTGAATTGTAGAAACGTTTGAATGCGTATTTCGTTCATACTAGATTTTTGGTACTCGGTCGATGTTCCCTGCTATTCGCTTTTCCTTCTGAATTGGTCTGATTGTGATGACTTCGAAGGAATAGAGAGCTTGGGCATCCTCCTCTGATTGTAAATGTTGTGGCAGGGATATCTTGTACCAGTCGAGCTCAGCCTAAGACAATACGGCAGGCTGTTAGAAGAAAAAAAAACCGGCTTCCCTATAATTTTCTAATTTTTCAACATTGTTTGATTTATGTTCCTATAGAGCTCGCAATTCTTTCAATCGACCCAAATTACTGAGTTGATGAGCTACTCCGGGGGCTTTAGGGGCCGTAAAATTGGCTTAGCCAACGTACACACCCAAAGACAGACGAGTTCTCACGGCCTTGTAGAGGCTATAGAGATTGCACCATCCGCGCACAGATGCACACAGTGCACACAGGAAGCTTACTGTAGCCAGCTGTACGTAAGGCCCTCACACTCCGACAGCTCGTCCAAATATCACTTTCTTGCAACTTTTGTCGTCACATTCTCGTCCACGTCCTAGGTCTGCTCCCTTTTTGAAACTTTATATAATATCTCTCTAAATACACCGGTTTTCGCGTATTCTTGGCAATTTTTGCGGTTCAGGACAATCACTTCCATTATTCGTCATAAACGAGATACACCAAAATCAAAATTGTGAACTGTACCTTTAAGTAGCCACAAAGTTGTTATATGAGTTGTACACAATTGTATGTAACGCTTATTGTTAAAACTGCCACCAAACACTGTCCTTTCCCTCCTTTCGCGTCCTTTCACTAACATTCTGCCGTGTTCTGTTTTTAAGGTAGTTTACACTTCGCAGTTTCGCTGGCGTACTCGATTTCATCGGAGAAAGCCTTAGGTTAAATGCTCTGAAAACCGGTCTATCACTGCCGCCCGCCCGAGAAGCTGGAAATGATTCTGTAACTTGGAGGTTTTTTAAAATCACGAATGTAAGACTTGGCAAACTACTCGCGGGTCTGGTCTACAGTATAAGCTATAACAAATCTCGATGTTTTAGCAACAGCTCTGAAAGACCCATAATCATGAACTTCTCTAAAAATTCCATATGTATTTTTTTTAATCGGCTTTTGTGCTCTATAATCCGCACATCTGAAATCCACTGAGAATTTTGTAGGGCAACGATAAATCCAAAAAATCTTCCTAGAGAAATTTTTCTCGAAGAAAAATTATTCGATACGGATGATATAATATAGTATGATATGATATGGTATGATTTGATATGATATGATATGATATGTTAATGATAAAATTAGACGCGACAAACAGTTCCTTTTGAGACGCTCCCCCCCCCCCCCCCCCCCCCNTACAGTATAAGCTATAACAAATCTCGATGTTTTAGCAACAGCTCTGAAAGACCCATAATCATGAACTTCTCTAAAAATTCCATTCAGAATCGTAAAGGCATTTTGAAGTGCCATATGACCTCCAATGAGGTGTGGTTGCTAGCCGACGTACAATTCAGTGTTTTTATCCTCCCAGACGAGTCTGGTTACAGTCAGTAGGGCTGAAAGGCTCATTCAGCCTGGGCGAGTATCGATCCCCGGAACACGAGCCCTAGTCCACATCAGCAGATAGTTGTGAAAGTCCTTCAAGTCCATCTAAGAGAAACCTCGGCATTCGACTTCAATTTGGAATCGTAGCGGTTGCGGTGTATTGAGTACCAACGCGGGAGGGATGGAGGGCTCAGTTGCTCTATGACGGCATCAATCCGATGAGGGATTCGAACCCGTGACCATGCGTGGATAATTGTGCGCTACTTGCCATCACACCATATCCACTCAAATTTAACCTGCTGCTGATGCTAGCGAATTTTCCTTCTTACGGCGTCTCTTCTATGGGTTGATTGAGCTAGTTGTATTTTTGCTCTTCCCCTCTTCCCTTCTTCCCCCTCCCCTCCCCCGCCAAACCCTCATTCTTCCCATTCTTCCCAAATGTCCCTTACAATGAGAACCGTTACAACCTAACTACGAATTCTTCAACAAACATCATTAACTATGAGGCTTTTAAGTATTTATGGGAGACCTTACGGGAGAAGCTTCTGAGTGTTATTTACAGCCCCTTTTTGAATAGAGTCCTCCTTGAGGCCGTTTTACCCTGAGCTGCCCAAAAAGGCCTGGGTAGTGATTTATGAGCTGTGGAATGCAGGTGTCTAATTAGGAATTCTGCTCCAACCCTCCCCGGACGATCAATAAAAGGAAACCTCTGTGAGCATCTGCCCAGAGGAGCAACGCATGAGTGACTTGCAGTAGCCATCAGATAGGGCGATGCAGTTCGGCCAGGACGGGACGCGGGGGTCGCCTTTATCGAGATATATCCTCGGCGGTAGACAACGGCGGCTACGGTCGGTCGTGGCTGTTCATGCAAGGCCACTGGGCAGGTTCCTGTTCTTCTGCGGACGAAAGCGAAATCGGCCATGATCTGAGCCCGCACCAAGTGGATGGATCTCTTCGGGGATAGGTGGCCGACAGAGATGGCGACCGTACGTACCGCTACGAATCGATTGGCTCTCGATTCAGTTTAGATCTAGCTCCCATACAAATGACCCGGTTCTGCTACTGCACTTGCTCATACAGTATAATCACACCCAGGAAGCCTTTGGGGAGCCATCCTGGAGAGTGAGAATCTGAAACTGCGGGCTTGGTGGTAACGTGAAAGGGGGTTTTCAAGCCCTTTGTCATCTGCATCGGAGATATGCTGACCAAACTGAGCTCTGAGACTTTTTTATTTTCGGTTTATTTTCAAAAAATCAGGACTTTACAGAAACAACTTGAATTGGCTCTTTTAAAGCTCAGAGTTTTCGATTTCTGAACGAAAAAATGCTGTAATGATTACTTACCTGTCGTGAGCTTCAGCCCTCAGAAAATGAGAATTTCCCACTTTCACGCCAAGGCGTTTAACAGGAATTTTGGAGAGGTTCTCTCAGAGAGGACGTAATTTTTTGGACATGCTCGAGCTTTCAACCTCTCGGGGGTCCCCCACTAAGCAATTGCCGATTTTTCTGGCCAAAATATTACGATTTCTGGAGATTTCAGAGCCTTTTGTGCCCATTTCTTCGACAGGAGGGGTTGCCTTTTGGTTAAAACTTCACTAGTCAATCCTTTGAAATAAAACTTTAAGGTTTTAAGGTAAAACTTCACCAGTTATTTCGTCCGTTGGGGTGACCCTAAGCTTAATAGTAAAATTTTTCGAAGAAAACATGATTTTATGAATGTAGAACAAGTGTTGAAACCAATAATTACCTTTGAAGGAGGAGCGAATCGTGAGAAGATCGCCATTCAGGACAAGAACGGAGAATGTCCCAGATTTTTCCCAAATAGCCCAATCATGCGAGTTGTGTGTGAGTCGTAAAAGCTCGTGAGCAACTGGGACCGATCTGGAATGGGTTCATTTTTCAGAGGGACAATTCCGTAGCTGATTGACCCAGCAAATCATCTAAGAGCTGGGTCCTTTCAAGGGATACCCAGTACTAGAACATTCGAGGTCTTCTAAGCTGAAATCTCCTATGCTATTCTTACAGACGATCTGGTTCTCCCAGAGGATCCTAAAATATATGGGAAGGTGTAAGTGCCCGTCCTCAAATAACCCTCTTCTGCCAGATATTCTGCATGGGAGCTGTGGAACATAGTGGGCGTGATTTGCTTGATATTATAAGCGTAAGGGAGACCGTGGGAAGCCTCTTTCGTTCCTGACGGTCGCCCATGGGTGGCAATGGATTATGTCCGCCCAGACAACGAACCC